TGAAAATTATTCCAAATTAAAAGAAAATTCTGGATGATTTTACTCTGAAAATCAAAAATCCTGCCTGATTTAAATTTGGCTTGATCTATCCCAGCATCCTCCTCTGTAACACCAACCCTCTGCATCACCTCTTTCCTCCTGCCTGCAGCTCCATCTTTATCCTCCACCCTCAAACCATCTCGTCCCTCTGACTCATTTCTGATCCCGTCCTTCCCGCTCATGAACATCGAGCCCCGTGTCTTTGTCATCGTGCTACGACGTTTGTCTCCATGCATCACAGCAGGTCTCACTGACTCACAGAATAAACTGTGCAGGTGATCCAGTAGGCAGCCAAATGTAAACGAAAATCAAAAACATGTAAAAACACGGACAAAAGATCACAGATTGCAGACTGTATATTAAAGATGGCCGTGGCCGGCCTTTGACACCTTTTGGCCATCACCATTTTTGTTTTTAAACCACAGCTGATTATCATATCGAATAGCAGCTAAGCATTTCTATAGCAACAAGCAGACTACACACTGAACGTACCCATCGTGTCCATGCCACTGAAACAGAGCCCTTACTTCAGGCTAAAGTCCGTGTTTTTGTCCCACTTTGCCTGATTCACAGTTCAAAAAGATCTAGTTTCATCTCATTTACCTCGGTGCAGCCCTTCACTTCATTGGCTGGTTTGAGCAGCAGGTGGGTGGAGCTTCTGTTTATTTTCATAAAGACCAAAGAGCAGAAAAGCTGAAGGCTAACAGAGATGACGTTACACACACTGCTCGAGCGATACTAACCCGCTCGGTCTGTGGCTTTCCTCACACTCGTTGTTTGTTAGCCATGTCCTTCGTTCCGAGTTTCATAAATGGCGGTTTTGATTTTGGTGAACGAGATGCTACCGACCAGCCAATCGGTGGCATGCAGTCTGACGACGTCACATTTTAGTACATGTTTGGATGGCTTGGAGCCCCGGCTGAGCAGGTGCTAAAATAGTACCGGGTACTATGACCTAATGGGAAACCCTGGAAACCGGGGCGAGTGGATCCGAGGAGGTACTAATGGAAAGGGAGCTTATGTTTCACATCGGGCTGTAAACATGTTTATTTCTGATGGTCATGTTCAGTGGCGTGTCCAGCGGGGCGGACTGGGGGGGCACAGACCACCTCCCCCCCAACCAGACTGGCCACCCCAGGTGCCACCCCGAAGCTAAAACACTAAAATTTAATGAAATATCAAATGTA